CTCCCCTGTGTGAATCCTCAAATGAATTTTTAAACTACTTTTTAAAATAAACTTCTTTCCACAATGTTCACATTCACAAGGCTTCTTTCCGGCATGGATTCTTAAATGAATTTTCAAATAACTTTTAAACTTAAACTTCCGTCCACAGTGTTCACATTCATAAGGCATCCCTCCTTTATCTACTGTACAAATATGTGATTTCAAATAACTTTTAAACTTAAACTTGTTCCCACATTTTTCACATTTATAAGATATCTTTTTTGAGTGTAGCATTGTATGATTTTCCAACTTATGACTTGTCCTAAACTTCAACCTACACTGTATACATTCGTAGTTTCTATGCATCTTCAAATGTTTTTTCAAATTACAGCTTTGCCTAAATTTCTTTCCACACTGTTCACATTCATAAGGTGTCTCCCCAGTGTGAGTCCTCAAATGCGTTTTTAATTGAGCATTTAACCTAAACTTCCTTCCACAATGTTCACATACAAAAGGCTTCTCCCCGGTGTGAATTCTCAAGTGTTTTTTCAAATCACTACTTTGCCTAAACTTCTTTCCACAATGTTCACATTCATAAGATGTCCCCTGTTTGTGTGCTGTCAGATAATTTTTCCAATTAAAACTTTTCTGATCTCTCTTTTTATGCGTCTCCAAATGTTTTTTCAAATTACAACTTTGTTTAAATCTCATTCCACAACGTTCACACTCATAAGGTGCTTCCCCGGTGTGAATTCTCAAATGCACTTTTATATTACATTTTTGGTAAAACTTCTTTCCGCAATGTTCACATTCATAAACTTTCTTTTCTACGTGTACCTTCACAGCATTTTTCTGAACTCTCTTTCTATGCGTCTTCAAATGTGATTTCAAATGACCACTTCCCCTAAATTTCTTTCCACACTGTTCACATTCATAAGGTTTTTCACCAGTGTGAACCCTCAAATGTACTTTTAAATTACCATTTCGGTTAAACTTTTTTCCGCAATGTTCACATTCATAAGGCTTCTCTCCCGTGTGTATTCTTAAATGCATCCGGAAATTATTATGTAGACTGAACATTTTTCCACAGTGTTCACATTTATAAGGTGCCTGTTCTGTGTGTGTTTTTGTATGATGTTTCAAATATGAATTATCCTTAAACATTTTTCCACAGTAATCACATTCATACCGTATCTTTTCTGTATGTATCTTCAG